GTGGTAATGTCAGCCACTATGGAATTAGCCAAATTGTCTGCGTTCTTTGGAAATTGTCCAATATTTGATATACCTGGAAGGCTTTATCCAGTCAGAGAGAAATTCTGCAATTTGATTGGCCCACGAGACAGAGAAAATACTGCGTATATTCAAGCGGTATTACTTGGCATCTTTTTTATGTCTTTTTTTATATCTATGATTCTAGTTAATTGGGTAGTTTGATAATTTATTTGTTCCCTACTATTTTAATGACAGCGCTTATGGGTCCTAGGAATTTTGAGAACCAAATTTAATTTTTCTGTGGAATAAGGGAGGTGATGGTAGGGGAATGACTATTTGGAGAGCATATTATGCTTGTGTTTCTTGCTTTAGATCGTGAAAGTGACCATGGATATCCATTTGAATGAAATGGCTGGAGACATCTTGGTATTTCTAACTGGTGAGCATTTAGTATGGTTTAAAAATGTTTACTATTTGTAAGTGAGGACTGTGGCTCACTTACAGCACTTATAGAGTGCTACCTCTGTTGGGAAATCTGGGTCCTTCTTAACTACTGCCCTAGATTTTTATGTTTATCTGACTAGCTTTAGATAAAAGATGTATGAAATGTCAGGCTTGTTAGTAAATATTTGTAAATATACTAACCTTTTAGAAGAAAGAAATTAAGTGGTTAAGTATTATTTTTATTAGTCTATCTTATATGGAGCTATAACCTGACTAAACAGACCTGAGTCTGAATGATTAATTTCATTATTTCAGAAGACATCCCACCAGCTTTTTTCTTCTTTGAGTGGTGGAATGGTACTATGTGATAGCAGTACATAAGGTGTGGAATCCACGTATCATAGACAAGCCTGCGGCTTTCTGTGGAGGTCAAAAAGAGAAAGTGAAATCCCAGACTAGTGGTGTAACTTTTCAAGTAGCAACACTCTACTAAGAGGAATGAGTCACTTCCTTGCTTATCTTCTACTCTACCTTGTACTAAGGTCAGAAGTAAGGCATCGTAACAATCTCTTTGTCTTTTGGAGGTTGCTTAAGTATTTTGAAATATACCCAAATGCAATGGCTTCTGGATTAGCTGACCCTATGTTAACAATTTAGTGAGTCTTCTCAAATAACTGTGTTAACAAGATGAAAGTCTAGAAGATGATGAACATTTTTATTCCTTTAGAGATTTAAATTCCTTGGAAATTGGTGTTTCTTCTACTTTGAATTTTATTGTTGAAATTTGGGGCCAGGCGCGGTGGCTCACGCCTGTAATCCTAGCACTCTGGGAGGCCAAGGCAGGCAGATCGTTTGAGCTCAGGAGTTCGAGACCAGCCTGAGCAAGAGCAAGACCCCGTCTCTACTAAAAAAGAAAGAAAGAAATTAGCTGGACAACTAAAAGTATATATATATTAAAAAAATTAGCCGGGCATGGTGGCACATGCCTGTAGTCCCAGCTACTTGGG